CCTTTAGGGGTCAACATAGCTTAATATAGAAACCTTTAAACATCTTCTTCTACAGAACTAATGGATTGATGATCACCAAACTTTGTCTGTAATATTCTTGGGTAGTCTTTTATCAAGTTTGCTCATATTAATTTCATTGGCCCCTTTTAGGGGCCGATAAAGCTAAAAATTAGAAATACCTTTAAACATCTATATCTAGAGAACTAATTAATGTATGATCACCAAACTTTGTCTGTAGCATTCTTGGGTAGTCTTATACAAATTTGCTCAAATTAATTTGATTGGCCCCTTTTAGGTGTCTCTAGTGCTAAAAATAGAAAATCCTTTAGACATCTTCTTCCACAGAACTAATGGATTGATGATCACCAAACTTTTTCTGTATCATTCTTGGGTAGTCTCTTATCAACTTTGCTCATAATAATTTAATTGGCCCCTTTTAGGGGCCGCTAAAGCTAAAAATAGAAATACCTTTAAACATCTATATCTAGAGAACTAATTGATGGATGATACTAAACTTTTTCTGTAGCATTCTTCGGTAGTCTTTTATCAAATTTGCTCATATTAATTTGATTGGCCCCTTAAGGGAACTAGGGCTAAAATAGAAAAACCTTTAAATGTCTTCTTCTACAGAACTAATTGATGGATGATCACCAAACTTTGTCTGTAGCATTCTTGGGTAGTCTTATATAAAGTTTGCTCATATCAATTTTATTGGCCCCTTTAAGGGGCAGCTAAAGCTAAAAATAGGAATACCTTTACACGTCTATTTCTACAGAACTAATAAATGGATGATCACTTAACTTTGTCTGTAGCATTCTTGGGTAGTCTTTGATCAAGTTTGATCATATTAATTAGATTGGCCACTTTTAGGGGTCTCTAGAGCTAAAAATACAAAAACCTTTAAACATCTTCTTCTATAGAACTAATTGATTAATGATCACCAAATTTTGCCTATAGCATACTTGGATAGTCATTTATCAATTTTGATCATATTAATTTGATTGGCCCCTTTTAGGGGCAGCTAAAGCTAAAAATAGAAATACTTTTAAACGTCTATTTCTACAGAACTAATTGATGGATGATCACCAAACTTTGTAGCATTATTAGGTATTCTTTTATCAAGTTTGCTCATATTAATTGGATTGGCGCCGTGTAAGCTAAACCTTAAATGCCCCAGGTCATGGCATTTCTTCAAATTATTGTTTAAACATATTCTATGCTCAAATGAAATATCAGAAAATATTGACAATATAATTTCCAACTCTGAAAAACAGTTGTTTCTGATGAGCGACTCAGGGCCATCATGGCCCTCTTGTTTAACTTTTGACGTTTGGTTAAATAATTTAACAAGTTGATGCATATATTTAAGTTAACCAGAAACTTTATTTCAAAGTTAAAGAAATCTTTAAGTTTCAGTGTATAATGAGCTTTTAACCATACAACTAAGTACGAAATTTAGATAAAACACATTAAATTTCTTTTTAAAAAGGAGTATGATATCTTTTGTTTCCGATTGAGACAAATTACAGACAAACTTTGTACACAATGTAACTACTTCACAGAAAAACGTATACTACACTTGTTTTGATATCGTGTGGAACTATATCGCTGATATAGATATATCATTTGGTTTATACAGAATTTATTTTAGTTCGATTGTGTAGGAAGCTATAAGCTTATAGACACACTTTCGAAGATATATCATTTAATATATAGATGAGTTCGCCTTAGTCCTTGTCAGTTTGAATAACAATGTAATGTAATCTATGTCTGCGTTAGAGATATACTATGCTCATTTAGTGTAAAATATTTTGAGCCCATCAATTAATTGAAATATGTGTATTTCTTTCTGAATGTGTCTAATTGTAATAAAACAAATGTACAAACTGTGTATGAGAAGCTGTATACCCTAATACATGTCAAGTAAAGTTGGTCCTTTCTTTAAAAAAGACTGCCAGTTTTTTTCTACGGACACTATATTTTTAGTGCGTCAACCTATCGTGTGCAGGGTTTAAAACATAAAATATCTACTTTGTGTGTAGTCAAAACATGCTTATTTTATATTTACAAGAGACTGTGTAGCAATTATTAATATTCAAAAATATAAAATTTGTGCATAGTATATCTTTAATTCATATCGCATGTATGATATAATTATGTCGGATTTATGTCGGATGTACCTATGGCTAATTAATCAAATATACATGTTTTATGGTTTAAAGTGATAAATCCCAACAGGGAATATCAGTACTCAATAGATACCACTGTGATTTATAATTATCAGTTTGATTGAATACGATGACACATTTAACAGAAATTATGCGCAAATTGTATAAACATAATTTTCACACAAATGATTTTCATACGACCGTATTGTAGATATACGGAGTATTATTTGTATGCGATAGATACTACGTGTATACGCATGCTAGGTTGGTAAAGAACATTCAGTATTATTTTGAATGTCTCTGATTATAAAAAAAAACAGTAAACTGTACCTCTTTAGTGAATTGACAAAAAATCAAAATTCTTATAAATATATATTCGCATATTTTGCTATATTTAGGTAAAATACTTTTATTGCATAAATTTATTAGTCTAATCAATCCTTCCAGAAAATGTCACATTTAATGTTTTGAAAGCTGGATTACAAATAATAGTCAAGGATATCGGTCTTTTCTAATAAAAAAACCTGAAAATTGTTATGTCATAAATATTTCATACTGACTGTTCTTATAGTGTACATAGTTTTATTCGTGACATATCGTCTTGTTTATTTAGTTTAAATTCGTGACATATCGTCTTGTTTATTTAGTTTAATTCGTGACATATCGTCTTGTTTATTTAGTTTAATTCGTGACATATCGTCTTGTTTATTTAGTTTAATTCGTGACATATCGTCTTGTTTATTTAGTTTTATTCGTGACATATCGTCTTGTTAATTTTACATTGAAAAATAGAGAGTGAAAAGCAATTATCAGTATTTTCAAATATCAAATTTAAGCATAATTTATCATTTAATGCTGAAATACATAATATGTGAATCCAGATTAGTGTTCTTTACATGTTTGTACTCAAGTGCCCGTCCGTGCCTGAAATAATGCATGGAAGGGCACCTGAGATCTTCCTTGCCAAATGACCTATACTGTGGCAGTGTGACGTAAAACCAACAAAATAATAGATATAATGTCTTGTTTTTTCGTGCTTCAACTGGATTTGACTCATATTTTGACCCTTAATTATCTCTCACATAAAACGCCATAGTAATTATTAATCGATGATCGGTTTTAGATTTCTCTTGGAAGATATTGTGTTCCATATTTATCGTCTGCAGATCTTTCTAAATTTGTTATACAGAAAAGTGGAATTCAGTGTTGAGATAGTGTTTATCGCAAAAAACATCGGCGATGATATTGCGGAAATGTCACTTCGCAATTAAATGTATAACAAAACTGCAAATAGAATCTGATATAAAATTTCTAGCCACGTGACGGTTAATATTTTATATAATGAGATTTGAATAACTGTTATAAAAGCTTATTTAGAGTTATTTAATGCTTTAAATTATTGATACAGAATGTCAGATAGAACCTACAGTATCCGCCTATGTGCTGATTCAAAGTATTGCAGAATGTGCTTTACGGTATCAGACGTATCTTTATGTACTTTTTGTGTAACAGTAATTTGCGAATATTTTCTTGTGCACAAAAGCAAATAGACAGTCTGCAAGACACATCAAATTCTTAAACAAACATCTGTTTTCTTGTTAGTAGATCATAAAACTTTTTTTGCTTAATGTGTATAAAAACGTTTTGGGTAGATATATACTATTTCAAGTAGAGTCTATAAAGTTTTATTTTAAGTACATGTATATCCATTTTTTATTAGTTTTACAGAAATAAATAAATGTAATGGCTTTCCATAAATTATTTATACTAACATCGTCTGTCATGCATATCTTTGAGATAACAACTTTTAGCAACACCCACGTATTGCCCAGTATTGTAACATAAGGGACACAAATAAATGATTTAATATGTTCGCGAAATTGCGTAGCTAAAAATTGATATTTAACTGATCCGTATGCAGATTTAACTAAATAATGCATACTAGATATTTATACAAATTATAGAAATTGCGTTAGCTAAATAAATGAAATTTTAACTGTCACAAATACAGATTTATCATAAATATACACCTAGATGTCTATACAAATTGTATCAGCGCTGTATGTTTAATTTGATACAGCGTATTTATATCAACTCTACATGCCTCCGCAGTTTACAGGTACAAAATGTAGAAAATGTATGTAAAATTGACATACAAATACTAATAGTAGTTGTCTCTCTCTCTATCCTATTATCTGGTAGGTAAAGTGGATATTTGCGATAACAAATGGAACTGCCGGTATTTTCACTTAATTAACTTAGACACTAATGAAATTATAGTGCCAGAAACACTTGTAAATCTCCAAAACCTAGATTAGTGTATCAAGAGTATATGTCAGGTCAAAAACATGATATATCTTCATTTAGGAACTACAAGTTTTCTTTGTATAATTAACAACAACAATATCAAATTTCCAAAATTACGCTTTCACTTTACGTTTAACCTCTTGAACAGCATATGTCAGTAACATTATTGTTTACATTCATGGGTTAAACTATACTTATCTTGAGATTAAAATTATTCAACACAAGATGACAACACAAACACCATGAAAATCATACCGAATATAACATTATCAAAAAAGCATAAACTTAAAGTCTTCGACCCTGTAGATGAGCCTATACCTGCAAACTATTTCTAACAGTTTCTAACGAATGCTGCTAAGCAAAGAATAAAATGGCAATTATGCATGACATTGTATGTTTATTTAGTACATTTATCAGAATTCAATCGAACTTGAAATAGAAACAAGATTATCAATATAACTATTTGAAATATTCATGCCATTTCAATTGCTAATCTTATCAATTGCCTATTTTATTTGCAGATCAATAAATAAAGCATAGAGACCTAGAGATGAATACTTCAGCTGTTTTTTACGACTTTAATGACACGTTAGACTACTCACATTATTACTTCACCAACGAAAGCTCAATAACTGAAGAAGAATATTTAGCTTATCAAAAGATGATACAAGAGCGGAAGAATTTTAAATATGTTTATCATGCCTTTGCTGCGTTTATAGTTCTCATGAATGGATCTCTAGTTGCTGCCATTTTGCTAAGTGCAAAGCAACGACGTCATTTCCGGAACTGGCTTATAATTCATATGACTGGAATTCATATATTGTTCGGAGGAATAGCTTTGCCATTTCTAGCACAGTCTTTTGACGCGACAAGCGCCGGAATAAGAAGTGTTCCCCTCTGTAAACTATTCTCGTTCGTATCGGATATCACGGAATATATGTCTAACATTTCAATAGGAATTCTTGGAGTATATCAGTGTTTAAATATTATATCACCAAGACTGCTGAAAAGTGTTTCTAACGCCCTCCTTTTGTCAATAATGATAATACTCCCGTGGTTTGTATGTGTGATGCTCACTGCGGTGCTGAGGCTTACAATGTCAGAAGAGCAGTGGGGACAGTGTTATATAGTTTCTGATAAAACGGCTCAAATTCTGTGGCTAGTATTAGCGCGATGTTTACCGCTTTTGATGGTATTAACTTGTTTCATTAGCATTTTATCCGTTGCAATTTCACCTTTCTCTACAAAGAGTGACAGATCTCCCCCTGGAAGACATAATACGACCATTTTTGTTAGTATTTGTTTAGGGGCGTGTCTTTTTATGCGGACACCATTTTACATAATATTTTTCGAACCTATAGACGAAGACTGTAAAAGGAAGCATAGGTTTCTATGTGCTAGACTTACACACGGATTAGATATTGTTCGTCTACTAAGTATGCTACTGATTCCGTTCGCCTACCTTGTGCAATTTGACATTAGAAAACGGTGTAGAAAATTCAGGTCAAAACTCCTATGCAAGACTGTTGATTGCAACACTACATCAAAGAAGCAACAGCCGATGGAAATGGTATCTGTTACAAACAATGAAGGCTCGTCCTTGTAATTATGCTTACTAAAACATTAATATACTCGTACACTGCATGTTTGTTGTAATGGTGTTTGTAAATAAATAAACAATAATAACAATTTAAACAGCAGCCACCATATAAGTTTTATTATTTTTTAAATTAATGTCTGTGTATTGTTTTGTTGCTGTTGTTGAACTTTAGATAAAGAGTCAAAATGACACTTGTATAGTAAATATATACCTATATTTGTATTATCTGTAAATATATTTTATTGTTCTGTATTTTGATATTTTGAAACGTTGCTGTTTAAATATGCAAAGTCATGCAACTTTAAATTGTCAATGTATCGTCGAAGCTTCAATAATAAAATGTTATACTTTAAATCAAAATTTTACTTGGCCCTCGTAAAATATTGATAATAAAACTTTAAAGACATATCGCACATCAGAAATGAATGAATATTTACTTCTTTAGAAAGGTCGAATATGGGTTTAATAACGTTGGAATATCTTTGAAGCAAGATACATGCCTGTTACTTGATAAAAAAAATCTGCCAAAAATAAAATAACCCGTCACAAAATTTTCAAAATGCAAACAAAGTAGTATTTGAATTTCCATACAAAATACTAGATAGCTATAAATGTACTAATTGCCATAGAGGAGAAAAAATTCAGTTCAGGTAATTGGCTCAGTGAGCAACTTGTTGGACACTATGAAAGAATACCAGCAATAAAAAGATTTTACGAAATTAAAAATGAAAGCATTTCTTGGGCATTATGGGCCTTTAAAATTGTATGATGTCAGTGACTTCATAAATGTTCCTTGAATTTTAAAACGTGCGTCATACGTCATACGACATATGTCATTCATACATCTAGTAAAGTCAACACCACCGTACATTGAAGTTGAAATTAGGTTGTAAAGAACACGCTAATAAGCTTATAAGAACGACACCTTCATACAAAAATATTTTATGTCAGATATGTATTTTGATATTGCTTTTTTTACGTTGCTGCCATTTTTATAATCACATTGTATTAAAAAAGGTCGTAAGAAATGTTTTGAAAACATAATTAGTACTCGTTCATGTACAATATCAATTACCATAATGACTAAGAATATATTTGGTTAACTTTGTAAATCAGAACTATTGCCGTTTACGTCACTTAAATTTATTTACTGCCTTCTTGTCTTTATCTATTTGTAAGTATTCCGAAAACGGTTAAGGCTTTGAGTAAAACGCAACGTAATGGTGATACAGAGTGTACAAGTTGAAATGATTATAGATGCTTACACTATATTATACGTGTAGTTATAAATAATTTTATCTTGAAAGTAATAATACAAGACTACCTCATGTTAAAATAAACCCCCTTCCCCATTTCCAATTGAAAATTCTAAAATATAAAATAATTTGTAAGGAATATTTGTCCAGATTTGTTAAATCTATATTATATTTTTTATTTTATTCATCCTTAACATCTGTTAGTTAAAATGTTCTTGTTAAACATTTTAATGTTTGTATTAATTTCTCATATAGTTTTAAATAAGTTCGCGAATATACTTATTAATACTGCGATTACAAAAATCACGTTTGATACTATCTAAAACTTTATAATGTCATTTGCAATTATGAACAAAAATTGTCATTTAATGCTAAAATGAACGAAAATGATAATGTTTGATGATAAAATTAATATATTGTTAAATAAAATAATAATTATATTATAATTTGTTGATGAATATAAATTGTTTTTTTGCAGCCACATAGGACATATTCGTAGAATATAAATATTATAAAAGAAGCTTCGCAAACAAATTTTTATAAAAAGGAATAATAACAACAACAATAACAACAACAACAACAACAACAACAATAATAATAATAATAGTAATGATAATAATAATAATAATAATAATAATAATAATAATAATAATGATAATAATAATAATAATTATAATTATCATCGTCATCATCATCATCCCTGTCACAACAGCACTACCACCATCATCAATAATAATAATAATGATAATGATAATGATAATAATAATAACAATAATAATAATAATAATAATAATAATGATAATAATAATGATAATAATCACAAAGTAACCGTATCAATTATAATAATAATAATAATAATAATAATAATTATTATTATAATAATCATTGCCATCATCATTAACTCCACTACCACCATCATCAATAATAATAATAATAATATTAATAATAATAATAATCATAATAATCATGATAATCATAGTCATCATCATCCCTGTCATAACACCATTACTACCATCATCAATAATAGTAATAATAATAATAATAAAACTAATGATAATAATAATAATTATTATTATTATTATTATTATTATTATTACTATTATCATTATTATTATTATTATTATAATGTTAATAATAATAATTATAATAATGAATAAAAGTAATGATTATATAAATTATAATCGCATCATGGACTTTTCTTCTTCTTCCTTATTATCATTATTATAATTATTATTCTTATTACTATTATTATTATTTTTATTATTATCATTATTATTATTATTAAAAATTTTATCATCATAATTATAAAAATTCGTAATCTCTTATTAAAAGAAAATTAAATGGATAACTGTCGAATCAAATAGAGGAAAATCCAATTGGATTTTTTATTCAATAACTTTTATTGGAAAAAAATCCATTTGAAATTTTTTCCAACAAAAATAATTGGAAATAAATACAATTGGATATTAATTATTTCAAAACACCTTATTGGTAATTTAGCGTGTATAATTATGTTAATTTCTTTCGAAAACTATCATTTGATTTTAATAATTTATTTATCGTTTTTTTACTAAATACAATTTTTCTGTAAAAATCCAGTCGGAATTTTTTCCAGCTTTCAAAATGGGATTTTTTTTTATTTTAGCGAATAAGTTCTTCAAAACTAGTCAGAAAGTCATTGTAGAATGTATTAATGGTGTTTTTTTTTATAGTTTAAGGGTTGCTGGAAAAATTGAAATTCCCGTTGGAATTAATAAAAATGTTGGAAGAAATTCCAAATGGAATATAAGTAAATTCCGTCCGGACAGCATAATTCCGGGCGGAATACATGAAATTCCGCCCGGACCATTTTTATAGATTTAAATAGCTTTCAAAGAAGTCAAATATTTATAATTTACCTTAAATATATCGGATGAAATGATTTTTAAGTGTTTAGGGCAAGTATAAATGGTAGTGAAGTTTGCAACTTTCCCGGTGGTGCAAAGATTTTCCGGTGGCTGTTATAAGAAAATGTTTGATCCTTGAATAAATTGGGTAATACTACTCGATGCTAAAATTATCAAGAATAAAGTTAGATGATTAAGAATAAGAATTATTATAATTTTTATGATTAAATGAATAAGAATATTAATATTTGACGATTAAATGGATAAGAATATTAATGCTACATGTTAAAATGAATAAGAATGATAATGGTAGATGCTTAAATAAATAAGAATATTAATGTTAGATGTTAAAATGAATATGAATAATAATGTTAGATGCGTAATTGAATAAAAATAATAATGTTTGGTGTTTAAACGAATAAGAATAATTAGGTGTGATGTTTAAATGAATAAGAATAATTATGTTTGATATTTAATTGAATAAGAATATTAATAATGATTCATACTGACATTAATTATAATAAAATGATAAAATAAAAAGTTATGCTAGCATGAATACGAATAATAAGATTTGATGCTAACATAATTTTAGTTTAGCCTTGTCAGCGGATTAGTGATTTATACGTGGAAAATATATTTCATAATGTCATATCTTAATTATTAAAATATAATTCTACACTTTTCAATGAATATAACACTTTTTTTCAAGATTTTCTGGATGTGGTACCTCTTTTTTATATTTGCTGCAATTTCCGACATAATCAGGCCTGTTTAGAGCAAAGCAAAGCGGAAATTGTTAAACAACTTAAAATTCAAACGTAATCGAAAAGACAAAACTTAAACCAATTTTTACAACATACCAATCACCAAACATCGTCTCTTTTTTTATATTTTTTTTTCATTTTATTCATAACAGTCTGATAATTGCACCCTCAGTTCTCGTGAACTTTAAAAAACAGTATATAACTCGTCGTTACGCCATTCGTGGAAATACTGTTTTTTTTTAAAACTCACTCGATGGAATAAAATTTTTATCTTCCACAAAAACAAACAAATATCCTCTATATAATTGATGCTTACCTGAATAAGTTTACAATATTTCATGCTGGAGTGATTTAATTTTATAGTATAATGTTTGGTGCTACTATAAATAAGTATAAATATGTTAGATGCTAATGATTTAAATGAAATTACATGATTGAAAATCTATGAAAAAATTAAACCTCTTTAATAAAAAGTGATACAATTTCATCAAAGTCAATATTCCGTTTTGTTTATAGTCATCACCCTTTCCTCTCTTTATATTAATCGGATTTGTTTGTTAAAATTCGAGTTTTATTACAAATGTATTATAAATTTATAAATTTGAGTTTATAACAAAATGCAGTGATGCATATGATTAATTATATCTGTCTTATGTTGCATTTTAGATCGGAATATCCGTCCCGAGGTTTGCCGAGTGGCAGTCCATTGGGTGAGTGCCCAAGGGGCGGATATTTCGATCCGAACCGCAAACTTATGTCAGATATTTTGCTTGCATATTTTTGCATATTCTACCATATTCCATCAAACTTTAAATTCTTTTCCTCAATAAAATACTTTACAATGGAAATGGATGTAATTACACCTGTTACTATTTTCTTACAACAGCATATGAAATTACAACCTTATTCAAAACGGCGAAATGACGTTATCCTTTTTTATAAAATTGGTTTTGAATAAATAATGCCGGCTGCAATTATTTTGTTTATGTGTTTTATTCTTAAATCATCGTCGTTTTAGGGTGTTTTTTTGTGCACAAAACATACGTCGAAAACAAATTATATGACTTAAGAATGAACGGATAGCGAATATATGTTTGTTCTCAGTGAATATGGACTGTATCTCATTAATTAATGAGAAATGATTCAACTTTACGCCTAAATGACGTGTCGTCTCATGACGTTATTCATTGCGTCCTTAAAAAGGTTTTATCCGTTTTTTGCATACTTCCTTCCTCTATCCAAAAAATAACCAAACTTAAATCAAACTTATGTATTTTACTAAGTTTAAAACAAGATGATATTACCTTATATATGTCACTGTTGTTTTTGTTTTCACTTTTTTCAATATCTCATGAAAGACAAAATATAAAAAAGAAAAGAAAAATAATATTATAAATCAAAAAACGTTTTCTTTTTAGAATTATAAACAGTAAAAATTAAACAATTTTGAATTTCATACATATTACATTTAAATGAACTTTTTCATCTAAAGGCTAAAAATTGTTTATTTTTTTCGTTTCTACTTTTAGCTTAACCTTTGTTGTTGTTCTTTATTCTAGGGTGTCAAAGAACTTGATTGAAGAAACTGACATATAAAAAATACAAGATGAAAAACTGCGCCAAGAAGAGCAGAGCGAGGAGTTACCAATGATTGTTTCCATTGATCTAGAGGGATATTCCATCGGAAACAGATAAATAAGCATGAACTTTACGGGCACTACAGCGGCTTTTAATACTGAGCTATACACGGAATTACATTATACAATATCTTGTTAATGTGTTTCGTATATACTATATGCAAAAATTGTTTTTTTTTTCTTTTAAAAGGGTGTTTTTTTTTCTTTTAAAAAGGAAAGGAATACATATGGTCATGCTAAAACATAACATATTCTAAATATATATGTTAAATATATCATATATAATAAATTTACCATTCGTTCTTTTTTATTTATTTTAAAGTACATTCTGTACAATATATTATAAATTTACTAAATATTTCTTCTTTGGGGGGGTGCATTCCGCACGAGTTAAGGAATTGCACTGCACCGTAAAAAATTAAGGAAGGGCTACGTATTTCTTTATGGAAAGTTCTCCCAATGAAAATATGATCTGTGTTTCCAAATTTTTGTTCTAATCATGCTTTTTTTAATTTCAAAATTGCTACATTACTTTGATAAAATGTTGAATTTTGCTTAAACCGGTGCAAGCTGCGTGGACGGTAGATTGCAGTTAACACCACCGTCCATGATCCAGCTCAATCTAACTAAACCTCCAATATTTTCAGTTTTGACGTGTTGGGCTTTCTGCAGGGTCTCTTTCTGTCCTTTATTTTATTTTGTACAGTCATGTTTTCAACAACATAATATATAATTACCTTATTAGAAATTCGATCGACGTGCATAGTTTATTGTGAGAAAAAGAAAAACCCTCCTATTTATTTTTTAAAATTTTTATTCGGAGAACTTCCCAAATTATTAGCGTAGTTTATTTTTGCTCTTTACGGACTTAAGTTTATTTATTGCGATGTTGTTACGGGTATATTATCCCATGAAACATTTTTGTTTTCTTGTTTACACCCGCCACCAAACATTTAATCGGATACAACTTGAAGAATCAATGAATGTGTTATAAACGCGTTCAGAAAATTGCCCATAAGCCAATTAAGGACACTGATTTTCTGGCCTGATATAGATATTTTATCTAGCACCGTTTGTCAAATAGAAGAAATGAGAAGATACTTATTGTAAAAAGTCTTTCTCTAGCCCATGGGTGTTTTGCTTCTAATGGAAAAGTGTGAAATATATATTATCTGGAGGCATTTTCATAAAAACACATTTAGACACAGAATGTAATACAATTTGTCTTCTGAGGGAAAAAAGCTATTCAGTGTTTTTAGAAATTAACGTAATACATTTAGAAAGAAAAGTAACCAATACATCTTTAATGGGGATGGGAGGAGGATTGAACCATTTTTAACCAATCTTATGTTTCTTCATACAGTCATACAGTCATTTCGAAACATCTAAATGCACAGTATGCCTCAAAAATCCATGTTTAGACATGGTAAACATGTTACATAAAGTTTTAATAATGACTTTAGAGCATATAAGATGCTTATCAACTGAAGAAAGTTGCGCTGAATGTGCAGTAATGCGTTGTAAAGGTAGCAAAATGTTCATTAAGTAATATTTTGGCTTCCATAAAAATACTCCTGCACTATGATTATACCCATTGCCAACAGAGCAAAAGAAGTAAACAATAGTTCATCTATGTGGCAAATGAGTATTGTTCTGGAAACTGTGACAATATACCAACAAAAAGAGAAAGTTTTTGAGAAATAAAAACGATAGCATTTTTGAGGTATAATTGGCTTTTACACATATGAAACATAATTCATGATGTTTTGTTGATTATCGTTGCTATTGAGTAAACTTGTATTATTATTATTATTATCATTATTATTATTATTATTATTATTATTATTATAATTATAATTATTATTATTATTATTATCATTATTATATTATTACATAGATGTGGAGAATGACAGAGAATGTCATAAACATAACATTTGAAACTAATCAACAACATGAACAAGGCAGTGCGGCGATTACAGTAAAGCAACACAGGACCATCGGTAGTCGAGTATGCTCAAGGAAGCAGCATATATTATAATTATTATAATTTAAAATTTAATGTTGAAACCATTACACATTGAATGTCAACAATAAAGATATAAAATGATAAAGAATGTATATGAATCATTTTAAATCGACGCTGAATACAGTATAATATTCGAGTTCCAAATTTAGTTTCAGTATGTATGAACCTATTTCTGAATTTATAAATAGAAACACACATTTTTTTTTTATCTTTTATGTTTAAGGTTACGTATTACAGCATACATGTGTTCTCATAATTGTTAAAGTTTTTATAATTCCATATGTATAGGGTGTAGTTCATATATAACAATAAATTATGTTGAAGAAATTGATAACGAAATGGTTGGGCATCTAAACCAGCTTATTGTTACTGATAAATGATCTTAAAATCTATGTATACAAATATATATAAAAATATACGATCAGCAATTACTTACTATGACAAGACGGACACTATTAGAGCTCTTGTAATTATATCAAGATTATATAAATTTATGTACAAAACCTACCATATCCTTATCGTTTGGAGTATTCTTTATGTATTCTTTTTACTCCATTTTGTTTAAAATGATAAAAGCAATACTTCAACTTTTAACAGAGTATCTGAGACGGAAAAGTGCTCTTTTTACAGGTAACAGAAATGCGTCGTATCATTTTCATATTAACTTAATTTTAATCAATTTAGCATTTATTTCTCAAAAATTATTGTAAAACGTTAGTTTGAGTATGGTAAAAAAGGAGTAAGATAACGTCTGGAAAGGGATATACCCCAAAAAAGACCTATCTGCACACATTTAACGCAATGCATCCTGTGGACACCCCCTTCGAAATGTATTATTTATAAAATTTTTATCTTATTTTGTTGTTATTTAAAAAAATCATGTTTCATTTTTTGTAAGTTAAAATTGACAAAAAAATAAAAACATACAAAACAACATTTAAAAAAAAATAATAATAATAAAAATCATAAAACCTTTTTATTTGTATTTCCAAAAAAGGGGAAAGTAATGAAAACAGCGTTTTTGATTCGTGGAATTTAAAAAATTTAAAGGGGGAAAACCCCTAGGGTTTTAAAACATTAAAAATCAAAATGCGAAATTCTTTTCCCCTACACATTCAATTAAAAAACAAACGAAACCTTTCTCACCATTTCTTAATAGCTACAGTTTTAATTTCGAAATCCACTTTCAACATGATCCCTAAAGAGCACGGGAAAAATTGGCATTGTTGAAAAATGGGGCCTATTATTAAATTGGATGTTTCAGAATTACTCATTAAAAATAGAAAATACCGCCATGAAGGTTTTTTTTCAGGGCATAATACCCTTTTGACGTGCGGTGAATTATTGCCAGCGAATTAATATTGTGATAAAAGTACATATTAATAACATGTCGCCAATTAAAAAAAAGTTTATCATAAAAAAGAAAGTTGTTCATTTCAAACTTAAAATTATCATTATTAAGTTTTTCTCCAAATTTATTTTGTCTTGCATTCTTATTGCCTTTACATTGTGACTTTGGGATCTTTCGATTTTTAGTTAAAGAAAAATAAAATGTATTAATTATTGCAACGCGATTGCTAATCATAGTGCTCTTCTAAATTCCTATAGCAATGCGTGTACGTTTTAATTATTATTAATGACATTAAACGTTTAACACTTTCAATACCTTTTATTAGTAAATTTCTAGCATTTAAAAAGAAAGTTATTTATTTACCTAAGACGGTGCGGGTTTTCCCAAAAATTGGGAAAGTTTTTTTCAATTAATTTACGTTAATTCAAATCCCGTAATATGAGACTTTGAAAAAAATTAAATGCATTGAACGAAAACACCTTTTCCTTATCTTTTAAAAAAAGGGGTTTTAAAAACTGGGTTTTACTTTAAAATTTTTAAGGGATTTTTTAAAAACGGCCTTAAATTTAAAATTATTATATCTCACGTTTAAAAGGGGATTTGCATCGTTGCACATCATGTTATAAATGCAACTCAATTCGCTTTTAAAACAAACATGGTTTTGAAAGGTTTACAATTTAAAGTAGTACAAAAAACCTTTTAATATTTTTATATTAAAGGGCGAACATTTTAAAAACCTTTGATTATTTAAAATTCATTCTAAATTTTGGGGGATATAAATAACAATCAAAATTTTTTTCTTTTGACTTATCTATAATTAACTTTTTTTCTTTTACAAAAAAGCTCTTCCAATCTACAACTTTTTTTTTTCCAAATATCAACATAGCCCCCGTTTTTAATATGAAATACAAAGATAAGCACCAGCTGATTTTTGTAAAAAATGGAAAAGTGGAACAAACGAACATATAATTTGTTTAAATTTTGCATAAGTACAAAATCTTAAGTAAAACACCGAAAAAACATTTTTTAAATTAACCCGATAAAAATATAAAAAGGGTAATTTTTGCAAATAATTTTAAAAATTGGTTACAACCAATTTATCAACATGAGGAGAGGGATAAATCTTTTGCTTTTTTGAATAGGGTATTTGACGGATAAACTATTTTCCCTTCAAAAGTCATACTTTTTCACAATCCTAATTTAAAAAATTTTAAACGTTTTTGATTTGCTTGACATTTATTTACCAAAAACCCGTTTTATATTTAACACATTAAAGTTATCAAACCCCCATATTTTTTCCCAGTAAGACTAGAAAAAATCATAAAATCTTTTCATGTCTTTTTTAAATTTTTCTCTAATTTTATGTCTAAACATATTTTATGAGAAAACCTTTCCCCATTCCCCTTTTTTTCTTTTTTTTATACTGGGGATTCCCTTTTTTCCTTTTTTTTTCATCATCGTTAATTTTTTTAAACCCATTCTATAATATCTTAAGTTGGGTTTTAAATACAGTTTTATTCAAATTTAAAACCTTATTTAAAACAAAATACCTGAAATAAAATATAGTTTTTTTTTTTCCAAAATTTTTTAGGAAAAAAAGGGTTTTTTTAAAAAAATTTCATTTTTTTTCGCATTGAGAGGCCTTAATAAATTTTAACAAACCCCCCTATTCCAAAATCAACCATTTTAAAAATTTTGCTTAAATTCAGAAAAAGATTTAATTTTTTCCAGAATTGGGTTTTCCCTTAAAAAATTTTTGGAAAAACTTATTCTCAAGTTAACTCGGAATTTTTAAAAACCAAAAATATTCAAAAGTCAAAAAACCATTTATGCTTTTCTTTTTGACCTGGGGTTATTTCCCCGTATTTTTTT